GCCCAGAAACTCTTATTTTAAACATTGTATATACTTCTGTTTCTTTTGACGCCTGCGCAAGCAAAAATCCCATTTATTAATTTCAGCAATTTTAACGGCTTTATGTACACTAATGGACGCCTGCCCTTTGGTGACATTTAAGTGCTCGTCGCGCGGTGTAATTGTGTTTAGAGGCCTTACTAATGGCCTATATAAACGATCTCGGAACAATTTTACGACAAAATCCAAGGACCGTGGTAGGCCGGTTTGGGATCCTTGATCATATACTAGGCGAAATGGACAGTCAAATGTCAGAAGAAAGTGCAACTACTGGCATATTCTGCAGTGACAGGGACACAGCCCAATGCTTCTTCGATTCCGGACTGGACCCCGCGTCGCAATTTTTGATTGATCTTGAAAGCAGATTACTGAAGAAGCCGGAAAGCTTGTGAATGGTTTGATGGGAAAAGCAAAAAACTTCAGTTTTGGGTCAAATCTTTATTTGAAAATCGCGTTTGTGGCTGAAAAGTCCTCCTCTCTCCCTCTCTCTCTCTCTCTCCCTCTCTTTCTCTCTCTCTCTCTCTCTCTCCCGTTGCTGGTTCCCTAAATAACAACGCCCTTTTGTGTTTTGAGGAGGACGTCTGCTCCGTAAAATTGGTCGGTGATTCTGCAACAGCAACTCTGCCAGAGGGCACTTAGTTGACTGTCGCATTTAACAGTCATTTACTCCCTTTCTGAAGAAATGGATTCATTGGATACCCTTGCCTTTTCGGCGGGATATACCCGAAATTTGCGCTCAGTCTGCTTGAATATATAAATAGAACCCCATGATTAATGATACCTCCAAAGCACTTGCTGAAGTCAGAGTTGCATTTCACATTCGATTAATATGTTTTCCAGTCTGTCAGGAGAGTGCAACAAAGCAGTGGACTTCAGCTGTCCTATAAAAGTAATGGATTGCAAGAATCAGTTTTGGTAGATGACGAGGAACCCAGCAAATTTCTTGTACAAGAAGTTTACCCCAGAGAAGGAGGCTCATCCCAGTTGGGAGAACTGTCCATGTGATCTTCGCCGCCTGTTTTGCGCGAGGTAAGGACCTCCTATAAGCTCGGCTAACGTCATAGGATAGAGTACAAAGGAGGCCACTAATCACAAACTGCTTTGCCAATAATCGTCAGTCCGACTTCGGTACCTTCAGTTTGCTACCTTACGGATTCGCCTGCTGCGGAGACAAAATGAAGAGATTTTTTCCAAAACTTCGCCGCCGACGCTGCCGATTTCTCGTGAACACTATCAACATACCCTTTCACTTCCGGTCGATCTCCGCCATTTTCTGATGTAAGGGAGGCGGTGCCGAAAATTGGTCTAATAATAGTACAGGAAAAGAAAGTCTGGCGGTTACCTGCCTCTAAAGATCCAGTGCAGCCTCTCTTCACTCTCAAATCAAGTCGTTGGTATTACAGCTGGCTACGCATGGAGAGCACAGTACGGTCGGTCGAGAGAAAAAACTACCTCCGTAACAGGATGCGGTACTCGCCTTCAAACCTTCTTTCAAAAGCGCTAGTTCAATCTCCTGAGGGAAATCTATTATTTCGGTGATGGGGACTGGCGGCAGTATCGAGGCAGCGTTGACAAAACTAGGGAAACCGTAATGACCATTTATGGCTGACTTTTTGATTCATGATCCCAAACTATTAGGTTCACACATTAAGTTGTTCCCCTAGCCGGGCTTGCAGTGTGACCAGCTGATGACGCCAACTAAACCAGAAGCGATCACTCTAGACTCACAGCTTTGTGTCCTTTTGTAATGATTGCTCATTGCGATACGACCACCTAAGAAGGCCGTACTTTGGAACTCCAAGTGAAAACTGTTACTTTAAGCATCATTTCCTTGTGAATAACTTCAAACTGAAATTTAACCAGACCTTTGCCTGCTCTTGGTTTTGTGCAAAATGCAAAACCTGCAGACCAAATTACTTTCTTCGATTAGTTGATAAATTTATGACTTCCTTTTACCAAGCCCGATAGCGGACGAAGGAGATCCAATCGATGTGGCAAAAAGTCTGAGCCCGCGGATGTTGCATTTGCACAAGACACAGTGAACTATAGAAAGCAGGATAAACCAGCCTGATAATCTGCCATGGACACTAAAAATAGACTATTTTTCCTGTTACGCCACCACTTCAGGCCCACGATTTCTAATTCCTTTGTCCTAGCAAAAGGAGTAGAACTGGCCCGCCAAAGCAGATAGTCTGAGGAGATGCTCTTCTGAAAGTTCGGTTGCTCTTGTGTCAAACCATCTACCGATCAGCCAGTAGAAGGTTCCAAGGCCTTGGAAACTATTTGCCTTCAGAGGGTACCGGTCCACTTCAAGGGAGCGACGGCGTTAGTGGCCGTGATAATCAGTCACGCGTGAGTGCCCACATACAGACACCAGCACCACACTTAGGTTTGAACATACATCTACAGATGGCAGTATTGTTCCTTTGTCTGTATACGGTTTGTAGTAACGAAATCGGGGCGACCCACGTCCAGATCAGCTAGTATGTGAATGCTTAGCCCGCAGCCGTACGGTCACCAGGCTCACACCATGTCACCCCGGTGCGGGGGCGTTGGTGCAGCGCAATTGCCGTCGAGGCGCGACAGCCCAGTGTCGGATCTAGCGACCGCGTATGATGGGTGCGTTGACTCGTTCCGCTGGTCCCGCGCAGAAAGTTGCGTAATTCTTGTTCCTACAAGAGCTACAAAAACGCCCTCGCCTTCCTCTCACGCAGGTGTGACCGGTTTTCGCCGTCTTTTCTTCCGAACCCAGAGGATGTGTGGAATTCTTAGAAAATGCATCGGCTAATTAGTGGGTGTAATATTCAAAAAGCAACCCAGCCTATTGGTTGTTTTTACCGTAAATAACTAATAGAAATGGTCACAGAAAATTTCGTTTGCCAATGACCCCACTCTGTTTCAAAGGAAAAAGTGGTTTATTGGGCAAACTAAAAGTAGTAACGACAAACGAAGGTGGAATAGAATAAAGGATTCGGGCTTATTTTACGTCTTCAGCCAATGAGAAATATGCGCTGAGATGATCGACATCACCCTCTCTGACCTCTTCCGTACATTGGTTGATTGCCCAAACCGGTCAGTCAACTGATGTGGGGATTAGGCGCAGCGGCCGACAAAGCTAATAACAGCCTTCCTGAGCGTGTCCACATACGACATGGCCACCCACACAACACATCAGGGTTTCATACAGGGGGGATGGTCTGCTCAAATCTCATATGCGTTAGAGTGCCATAGAGGCCTAATGAAATAGAAAGCAAAAAATCACGATTCCCACTTACATAAAAAGTGCCGATTCCGTATTTTCGGTGGATAATGGAGGACGGGTTCGGGTGGTGTATATGCTAGTGAGGTAACATGTATTGATGATGTTTGACTGACGGTTTTAGCGCAAGTTTTATGGAGGCGCACATGGCCGAGTATACTCTTGCGGTGACCGAATATGCTTGGACAATGCGGACAGTGATAGTAGCTGCGTCGAGTATATGTCGGAGCTCCTGGGACTGGTGCACGGTCTCGGTGCGATGGATTCACAAGTGACCGACTAGACCGTCGCGTGGGGACATGGTACGATTGCAATGGGAGCAGATTAAAATCGAGTTCGAGTTAGTGGTGGTGCTGGTGCTGGTGCTGGTGATGGTGGTAGTGCTGGTGCTGGGGCTGGTGGTGAGCGACGTCCGGTGAGACGCTGGGGCACCAGGAATGTGATCATTGGTGACAGTGGTGGTGGTCGCCATCGTGAGGGTTGGTGCAGGACGACGATGGGGACGTTTAAAGAGGCAGCAGGTTGAGTTGGTGGGCTGATGTTGCACTGGGTGCAGAGACTCCGACAAAGCCGATCCCTGCGCGGAATGTTTGTCAGCAGCATAAGCATGTTGGAAGGGGTTGAATGTAAGCGTTGTGGGTCGGGGGCACTTAAGACTTTCAAAGTGCTCTTTTTGGACTTGACAGAGACGACTCAATTAGCTTCGCAGATTGGTGATACAGCCTTCACTGCTCTTCTCCAAGACGATCGGCCTTGGGCGAGGTATTCCCAGGTCTCCGTGTCGATTTGCAGTTGCTTGGGCGATGTTCTCGTGCTGTCTTTATAGAGTCGTTCTTGTCCTCCTTGTTAGCGACCACCCAGAGCGACATTTCCCTAAAAGGATCATATGGGTAGGCGTTTAGCATCCATCCACATGAGGTGGCCGCTCCATCGCACTTGAATTTGCTTCAGTAGGACGTGTATGCTGAGAATTCCGGCCTTTTCAAGGACTTCTGTGTCTGGAATCCCGTATTGTCACCTCAGCTTTCGTATTCTTCGGAGATAGCTGAAGTGACAGTGGTTGGGGTTCCTCGCTTAATTCTCGTAGACCGTCTAGATCCCCGTCCCATACAGCAGGGGTTTCAGGTCGACATTTTTGTACGTATTGACATTTGTGCTGAGATGGATACCTTGGCGGTTGCGGACGGAATTCTTCTGACGGCTGTAGGTCAGGCTGGCTTTGGAAATCTGGTGGGCCACTTCGTTGTGGATTTTGATACTGCGTGAATGTGTGCCGTCTAAATAGTCGTGATACCCCATAGTCTTCGGTTGGCTGCCATTGGTGGTGATGCGAGGGCCATTCTATTCAGTAATAAGTTATATCTGATGTACGTCCACCGTTTTTTCTCCGTGTTGAGGGTTAGGTCGAAGTAGACACTACCGGCTGTGAAAAATCCATGCCCCCTTGAATATCCACTTCTGACCCGGCGTTGATTGCGCTGTCGACAGCAAAGACTATGTCGTGGACAGTAGTCGCGAATAGACGACTTGGGGCCTGCACTCGGCGCCTATTAAGAAGATGGTCAGTGGTCCTGTAGATGATGGTGACTCCAGGGATCCCATCATCGTACGCGTCTGATAGTATGACAGAGAACATGAGACTGAGGAGCGTGGAAGGGAGTACACAGCCCAGCTTCCCTCCTCCCCCCATTGGTCACTGCGAATGCATCTGGACTGCTTCACTGTTCGTGACGCGCGCCATCACCCCGTCGCGGAGCTAACACACCACGTGTGTGAATCGCTCACGACAGTCGAAATTCTGTATGATTTTCCACAGTCCATCGCGACTCACTGTGTTGAAGGCTTTCGTCAGATCCATGGAGATGGCGTAAAGGTGGGTCCGCATCTTCCGACGCTTTTTTTTCTAGCTGGTGGGCGGCGAAGATCATGTCGGTGATTTTACGGTGTCGTCGGAAGCCTCGCTAGCATTCCAGGAGAAGTCTCTGTTCGAGATAGCTGTTGAGGCGGTTGAGGGGGATGCGAACAAAAATCTTCCCGTCGATGTTGAGCAGTGGGATTCCTCTGTTGTTATTTCAGAGTTGCAGGCTCCCTTTCAGCTTATAGAGATGGACGATTGGGACGTCTTGGAAATCCTGAGGAACTTTTCTTCTGCGCCATATCTCCTGGAATAGCGCTGTCAGATAGTCCATGAGCCGGGGGTTTCCATGTTTGTAGATTTCGGCCGGAATCGTGTTGAATCTCAGTGTTTCCCACCGGAGAGTTGTCGCATGGTTCTGAATGTTTCTGGCAAGGAAGAAAGGATGTCCAGGACATTATTAGTTTCCACCTGGGGGAGCCGGTCGTTGACGGTGTCGGAGATCGTGGATGGGCGATTGAGGAAACCGCTGAAGTGCTCCGCCCAGCGCTTCAAAATCTGTGATTTTTGCGCAAGGATTGATACTCTGTCGGCGTTGAGAAACGACACGGTCTCTTTGACTGTGGGACCGGAGATCGTCCGGATTAATGTAAAGAAATTCTTCATTTTAAGGCGGTCCGCGTACCATTGGATTTCTTTGGCCTGGTGATCCATTCAGGCGTCCAGCATCTCCTTCATCCGTTGATACAGAAGATGGCGACGTCTGAAGATGGTCTCTTCGTTTTTACCTGTCTGAAACAACTTTCACGAATAGGTCGGATGTGGTTTGGTAGCCACACCTAAAGTAAACAAACCCCAGTCACGAATAAGGAGACACCTCAAACACGGGACCGATGGTCATGAAGTTTTATGTAGGTCGGACCGGGGAACGCACAGGCGACGAGGTCAAGTAATTGTATGCAAAATAAAAGCTATTTAGAATGCGCAGTTGTACTTTGAGTGGTTGAGAAATAGTTGCGCCAACCTCCAACCCTAAACCCTAATCCTGACTCCTAACTCCAACCCCTAACCCTAACCCCAACCCCAACAGTACTGTTTCCATCAGGTGGGACTACCAAACCACATCTTACCGAATATTATTTATTTAACATAAAAGTGATAGAAAAAAGTACACATGTTTTTTTCTCAAGTCCTTTTTCCAAGCAAACTCGTCTCAACTAGTCATAAAACACTTTAAACTTGTCGCGAACCTCAACGCCTGCGCAAGTCTTTTAATTACCTTTCGAAACAGCGCTCTTAAGCGTTCATTGTCATGAAACTCACTAGTGTTAATGACTTGATAACTGCCGAGAAGCTGGCCAAGTTCGTTTGCGTGTTTGTGACCTCTGGTATTCAGTCAGAGCTTGCCCAGCTCTGAAGCCAGTGGAAGGGTGTGCACTCACCCCTATGCATACATCTATTAGAAGGGGATCAGAGTCGTTGGGGAAGGGGCAACGTTTATTATGCAAATTTTCGAGACTGGGGAGTCTGCTTCCATCTAAACGTATATTCGACAGCCGTCACCGACGATGTCTAGCGTGTGGCTCACATCAGGGTGGGCGCAGGGACGATGATTTGTACGTGAATTGGTCTAAACCAGCGCTGCATCTACCGCGCTCTCTCCTTCCCCACCCACCTGGGCCCGGTGGCAGGACTAAGTTAAGACGGTCGGAGGCGGGTCGGACGCAGTGACTGACAACGTTAGAGAGTACGCATGCCACACATACCTGGTCCGGTCAAGATGGACCAGGTTTCCGCACAAACAAGGACTGGGGACAGCTATGGTCTCGACTGAGCGAGGATACCATGGAGTCCACATTAAGGGGGAGCCGTTGCTCCCTGTCTCTTCGCCCTGAGAGCAGGACCGAAGTATCCCGTCAGTTGGCAGCCATTCAAGTCACGGCTTTTGACGCCCCCTAATGAATTCAAACGCGTCAGACTGTTTGTAGTGAAGAATATGCGCTGAGTGTCGTGGAGGCGTAGTTCCCACAATTGACTTCACTCTTTCTTCCCTATTTCATGCCCCAGTCCACAGTTCGAACCGGCTGGTCATCTGATGCAGTGGCTGACGGGGTTAAACAGCCCGTCTACGCGTGTCAAACACGACATTTCCCCCTACATCCATATGCGTGAACATCGGTTAGCGGTGACTAGGTTGTCCCAGATGACCACGCGCGCACTGGACTCGGCTGAGGCGTGTGGATTTGGATGCCAGAAAAAAGTCTCAACGACAAATGGGAGTGAACACAGCCAATCCGGGCTGGGTAACAGGATGTAATTAAAGCCCACGTACGTAGGTTTCACCCAGTCATACAATCTCCGGCAAGGCACAATTAAAAGTTAAGCGTTTTTGTATATAGTTCATAGGTCTGACTACAGGTAGGCAAACCAATCTTAAGAATTTATGTACATGACAAACATTTTCTCATCTCAGACGGATGTGACCCCTTGGGACTAGCATGCCCTGTAACCCGATCTCCGTTGACAGGGCCATGGGCCTGTTCCATTGAGTCACGGGCTCGGTGTTCATCCCAAGCTCCCTTTTAGTCGTCGGTAATCCTTCTTGATATATATGTATATGGATCAGGGCATAGATGATAATTATAGGTGCTTTAGAAATCTATAAGTCTTACGTCATATTTTTTCGCAGGCAAGCAAATGAACACTTGTTTTACTACAATTACTAAGCATAATTATGAATGATAGAGGGGTGCTTACCGATATTTTTTACAGAACTCACTCATCCCGCTATGTCTCAGGGCTCTCTCTCTCGAGCCCAACCAGCAGCCGCACAGCGACGCATGATATATAGGCAGAATAGTATTACCGACAAAGACATGGGAGACTAAAATGGCCATTTCTGGCTTATTAGCCGTCGTCAGCCAGTCATACCCAACCTCGAAATGTGCAACTCGTGGGGCTCAAACTCGTGACCTGTTAGTTAGAAGTCCAACGCCTCTACCCACTGAGTCAGGGGCTCGTTATTCTGTCGGCTGAATATAAATGAGTAAACCTGAAGGGGATCTACAATGTCCTTGAAAATCCCCCTGTCACGTAGAACATGAAAAGCATAAAAGAGATCGCCAGCCGACCAAACGTTGTTATCATGGGGGATTTTAATGCACCATGCATTCAATGGAGCGATATGCATGCGAAATGCTCGATGAATACCTTCGATTACCATCTACTAAAGACAACCCTAGAAGCTCTACTCACGCAACATGTCCTGTTTCCAACTAGAGCTCGTGGAGGGCAACAGGCCAGTTGTCTGGACCTCGTTTTTACCAAAGATCCTGACAGTATAGACGAGGTGTACAACCTACCCCCGCTCGGTCGAAGTGATCATGCAGTGCTTTTATGGGAGTACTTGCTGTATTCTGAACCGTGTACAAAAGACAATACGAGGCTAAATATATGGAAAGGGAACTTTCGCCAAATGAGAGCTGAGGCATCACAAATAGACTGGGATGTTCTCTTCTCCGGAAACGTTAACGAGGACTGGAATTTATTCAAGGATCTTTTACTGCACCTAATGAAGAACCACTGTCCCTTATCAAAGCCTAGGACATCCAACCGCCCTCAGTGGATTACACGAGAACTCAAAAGGGAGATCAACAAGAAAGGTAGGTTATGGAAGAAATTTCGCGAGAACAACAATAATGCAGCGTTTATAGAATACAAAATTCAAAGAAATAAATTGAAAAGCCTGATTTTCAGGAGGCGACGGGATTTTGAGAGTAATTTGGTCCACCGAGCCGTTAAAAATCCGAAATTGCTCTACAGCTATTTGCGGAAGAGCACACGTAACAGGAATCCCATTCCTGTTATGAGGGGTGATGACGGCTTGGAGATATCGGACAGTACAAATAAGGCTGAGCACTTTTCTCAATTTTTCCGATCCGTTTTCACAAGAGAAGCGGACTTTACCCCATCTAATTCTGAGAACATGAGAGATCCCGCTATCGAAAATATTGTGTTTCGAGAAGAAGCGATTTTGGAAGAACTGAAAAGCTTGAAGGAATGTAAATCTCCCGGACCGGACGAGATTCCAGCAAAGCTGTTCTTTGAGCTTGCCCAACAGCTAGCCAAGCCACTATCCTTTCTGTGCCAAAAATCGTTTGATGTTGGAATTCTTCCCACAGACTGGAAGACGGCCCACATTACACCCCTTTACAAAAGCGGTAGTCGTGCTCAGGGGACAAACTACAGACCCGTCAGTCTGACATCAATCTGCTGCAAAGTGATGGAGAAAACCATCAAAAAGGAGTTGATGTCTTACTTGGAAACCCACAACCTCTTGTCCAATACACAATATGGTTTCCGTAGGGGAAGATCATGTGTTACGAACTTGCTATACACATTGCAAAGTTGGACACGAGCACTGGACGCAAAACACACCGTGCGTGTTGCCTATATTGATTTCCGGAAGGCGTTTGACAGTGTTCCGCACCAGCGTCTCCTACACAAGTTGAGAATCATGGGCATCGGTGGCAAACTTCTCAAATGGATCGAAAATTTCCTTGTCGGCCGCTCCCAAATTGTCTGCGTAGAACAACAGCAATCAAGGTGCACATTCATGGAGAGTGGGGTCCCACAAGGCTCGGTGCTCGGACCAACTCTCTTTCTCTTGTTCATCAATGATTGCGTAGATGGGTTGGACTGTGATTGTGCCATGTTTGCGGATGACATAAAAATCTGGAAAGTCATCCAGAATGCTGCCGATGAGACCAACTTCCAAGAAAATCTTTGTCGATTGGACGATTGGTCCCACAGATGGCTCTTGTCCTTCAATTTGAACAAATGCACCATTCTGCGCCTCGGAAGTCAGACCCCTAGTACGCGTCAATACCATCTGAACGGAATGCCACTCCGAGAAGCAGAAACTCAGAAAGATCTCGGAGTTTGGGTTGCAGACAGCCTAAAGCCTTCTACACAATGCTGTAAGGCGGCCAAGGCCGCAACGTCAATGCTATATGCCATCAAGCGGGCATTCGTAGTTTTCGATGAAGACTGCTTCACCAAAGTCTTCGGCACGTTTATAAGGCCCCATCTCGAATATGCAGTTCAGGCCTGGAGACCGTGGACGCATCAGGATTACGATCTGCTCGAAAGGGTGCAGAGGCGAGCCACAAAATTAGTAAGAGGTCAAAGTGCACTGCCATACGAGATCCGCTTAACTAACCTTAATCCCTATCCTCTGAGTTATAGGCAGTTGCGCGGAGACATGATACAAACTTTCCGTATCGTGCGCGGCTTGGATTGTGCCCTTCGGTGCGATGACTTTTTCCAACTCGCCACTACAACTCACCTCCGGGGACATCCCTTCAAGCTACGTGTGCCACAGGGTAGACTGAATGTGAGAAAATATTTCTTCTCCAACCGTGTCGTGGAATCGTGGAATAACCTGCCCGAGACGGTTGTTATGTCTCAATCTGTGGAGACATTTAAATGTCGCCTTGGACAGATATATGCTGCAGCAACAAGCGGACTATGTGACTTTTTAACCATGTGACTAGTGACATATGTGAATCAATGTATGCATTCACTTAATGCTGTAATTTCTTCACATTTTTGCTTTTTTATCGATTTTTTATGTAAAAATAGGGAGTTCAAAGGCGTAAGCCTATTTCCCTCAAATACACTGACTGACTGACTGACAAATTTACTGGGGTGCCATTGAATTCGTCGTCCTCACGCCCACAAAACAATCACGGGAATCTATTGAAACATGCTACTCAACCGTAAAGATGATCAACTATAAAGTCGATCTCGATGCCCGTTACGGAGGCCTGTGAGAGAGCCCAACTATTGGTCTGCACCCATACCCAAGCATCATTTACAGCTGGCCCATAGTTAGCTGCCTGCACTAAAGCATCATCGTTTCTCATTCTAGAGAACCTGACCGTTTTCCTTCACCTCACTGCGCACAACTAGACCGTATCAAGCCGCCTGGTTATTCACAGACTTGCTATCTTTCCCCCCCCCTTGCCTCCTCGCATCCCCCTACATGAGCATTGTTCTTACAACCTCCTTCTCCCCACCCTCTAGTGGGAGCCTTCCAACTCTAGTGTTCATTTCGTCTGACGATAAGCTGTTACTAATTTTGGACAACTGCACAAGCATCTTCTCTGCCCCAGTTATGTCCCTCAACCAGTCTCCCACACTAGTTCATATTCCCGACATCAGTCGACAAGACAACATAGTGACGGCCTCATTCAAGAACCAGATGACGGCGTCAAAAAACATGCGATGAAGATTGCACAACAAGTTTTTGTAGGGAGGGATCTAATGCTGACGCCGTTAGTAATGATGAAGGCAACCATTCTGCAGTCCAAAAGAGAGGCCATGTCCGAAGTATTTTCCTCCAGGTTTTTCGCAACCATGGCAGAGACGACCAGTTTAAGAGAGAGGTAAATTAGAGGAATTGACGTGGAGGGCCGGCTAAAGAATGCAATTGGAGCTGGGATTGTGCTCGTGGAGTTGTGCCTTGGAGGTGTTAATAGAGCCATATCATACAGCCGCAAAGAGACCTGCAAAAATGCATAATGAAGGACAGTGGGATGGCACATTAAATAGGAATAGAACTTTCTACGTTTGGATAGGTCAGAAGCCTCTATGATCGGGTTTAAAGCGGAAGAGTCGTAAATGGGCGAGGGCTAGATGGATGACTACTATGGAAAGGACTATCAGAAAGGGAGACCGTGAGGTCGTTGTCGCATGGGTTTGGATCGGAGATATGAATTAGCACATGAGGGTGGTTTAAGTGTGTAGATGGAGCAGAGAAAATAGTCATGACAACACTCTTCTGAGGTATGATTGGGGTCCTTGCATGCAGGCACGACGGTTACTGCTGCGTCGTGTAAACTGCGATCGGGGATAGGAAATAGTGTTGGATGCAGAATGTGGAGCGCATTTGGTGCGGAGAAGGCACCCTAGCGTTTCGCGATGGTGGTATGGTTAGAAACCTGGCATGCATTCCCATAGCAACCAGCACAACTAAAGACTTAATTCGAAGAGTGAAAAGGAAACTAGGATGACACTTCCGGCTTACTAGCTATTGTCAGGCAGGCATGCCAACGTTAAGGTTTGGGTAAGAGGGACGCATCGAGACTGAGCTGGAAATAACAATCTACAAATGGATGAGTTGGGAGAGCAAGGGGATGATGATGATGATGATGATGATGATGATGATGACGACGATGATGATGATGATGATGATGATGATGATGATGATGATGATGATGATGATGATGATGATGATGATGATGATGATGATGATGATGATGATGATGATGATGATGATGATGATGATGATGATGATGATGATGATGATGATGATGATGATGATGATGATGATGATCCGTCAGCACGTCGTCGTTTAAGCTGGGACCGGCTATGTGAATAGGCGGAGGAGGCTGCCTGAGGGATGTGGTTGGCGTAGGAATTATGCCCGTGACGTTGCGCCATGGCAGTTTGACAGCGCAAGCACTCAACTACCACCTTCCACGCAAGTGGGGAGCGTGCGTCTCGGCTCCTTTTCCATGCGGCTCCTATCCAGCATGTGTGCTCGGAGTTAGAGACGAAGACGGTGCGTTGAGCACAGTGACTCGGAAGGCAGCTGACTGACGCCCCCACTCACTCCGCGCAGTCTGCCCAGTTGTGTATACGTGTGTTGTGTGCAGTGGCGGACTGGTGGGCTGAGAGCCAGGCTGTCACGGCCACCCCCCCTCAAGTTATCTGCGACACTCTCATGCATTTGAGGAGAGTGTGTGTGCCATATGGGTAGTGCCTCTCGGTCGAAGACTGTTTGGTTATCCAACCATGAAGGGTGACGGCCCAGGCTAGATGCAAGGCTAACGTGTCAGCCGTCCAGATCAAAAGGTCCGAAAGCGTGTGCTATGCCAGTATCAGTTAACCATGGTCCTCGCAGCGCGGTATGCGCTGGCAGTTCCCTGACACCTGGCTCCCTGCCGGTAGATGCACTTGAGCTTCCGCTGCGCATACAGATGGTGGGCCCAGCTGCCCAGCCACCATCCTCGTCCTTCTGACCCCTGTTTGGGTGTTGTTGTTGTTAGTGAAAAATCCTAGTCAAGAGTATGTTGTGGACCAGGGAATGTGGTGGTACGCCTAGGTGAGGGTCCGGCCGTGCCGGACGCCTGCACCCTCCCCGCCTCCGGTCTTATCGACTCTGTCTTGGCACCGGGTTCAGGTAGGGAGTGGGGAAGAGAAAGCGTGGTAGATGCTGTGCAAGTCTACTAACACTATGCACTTATTCACGCATAAGTCACTGTGCCTACAGCACCTTGCTGTGTAGCACACAGTGGACATCGTCAGAATTGACGGTCGAACTGTCGGTGGTGGTGTGAGTAGAGCGCTGACACGCACTTGCATAACAGGCAGTCTTAACGTAGGCTTAATGCAGAGAATGAGAAGAAGAAGAAGAAGAAGAAGAAGAAGAAGTGGGTTGATATTTCTGGCCTGTTAGCCGTTCAGGCAGGCGTATCCCATGACCAGACCGAAAAGCTCTTTCGTTATTTCGACGGCCATTTTATCGTCGGATATTATATTTTCACTTTCTGTTTTAGTTAGAATTCAAAGTCAATTCAATGCACCTACTTACAGACTCGTCGTTTGGATCCCGTGTTTCCTGAATTCCGCACGAAATTCTCCTCTTACGTCGGTCGCGCTGTCGATGCATAATGCTACATCCCGTCTGGGTAGGATAAGCGACGAGAAAACTCAGGTTGTCGTTTTTAGGTATCTTCATCCTGACTTACTTATGGCCATTACTAATTAATCGAATTTGCTGAAATTGGATTTGGACAAGTAGATGGCGCCAGATTTTTGACCGCCTGACAGGCGGTCCTTCGAATGCATTAGATGTTGACGAACTGCCGTTTCTGGACTGTGTGTCCGTCAAAACTTTCAAAATAACGGTCTTGCGTACACAGCTCTTGGAAATACTGTACTCCTGCAGTCTTGTCAGCCGGATCGTTGCAATGGCAATCCCATTGGCGTGCCCTGGATTTGTTTATACGCAGATCTGTCAGACGTTAAAAAGCTCTTTAAGCAGTGCTTTGGGGTACTACTGAGGCGCCCAATATGTATTTTAATGCCCGCTCCCTTGTGGCGTGTATCCCTCAGGGTTTGTATGGTTTCGGTCGCGGCATGTTAAAGGATATCGGTAAAAAGTGACATCGCGTCGAAAGACACCACCACTTCGTCATTACTAAGCTGAAGGCGGACGAATCATTCAGAACCTTGAGTTAGGAACTTCAGGCACCGAAATAGTCACTTTGATAAACGAACGCCAAAGTCCGCTCAGAGGGACCGTCGGCCTCAATCGTATACGCAGTCTGTACATTTGCGAAAGGACATATATCCCCTTTGCCACGACACCCTTAAATGCTGTTTCTTAATGGTCGACCTTTGGTATTGTCCATACTTTCCGAAGTATTTTTAGGGGCCCTGCCGATGCTTTATGCTCGATTTTTTATCAAGGTTATGTCAGGGAGACATGTACGCAATTTAAGCGCTCAGTTGTGTCATCGCTTTACGGATGCATTTCTTCCTCGTTAATGTCATCTTCAATCGTCCTGTGTCGACTGTTAGGATGACAATACTTTCGTCCACCTTCACTAAGCGAAATGCTTCACCTTTGATTTTCAACAGCGCCTTCTGTGGTGTGAGGGATACCAGTAAGGGAGAGATAATCCGAAGGATCGAACTTCTGTTTTTTTCTGTAATTTTGGCCTCACTGATGATGGATTCAGCAGCTACGGTGAAATCTGCCGTCCTGAAGTAGGCAGCAAGGCTCGGAATTTTCACCGGTTCTGCTGTCAACTGTTGTGAAGATACCTCGTGAACGTCCTTGACGTAACAATAATCCAACACTTTTAGTTCAAATTAACTATAGTGCGTGACCGATCTCATGAAATGTTGGCCAAGGTTCTGGAATGTGTTTCCGTTTAGGAAGGATTACTTAAGTGGGGTTGTTATTCTGATTATCATACAGCATAACCCTATAACACTTCGGACTCGCCAGGATGTCGGCTTTTGAATGAACTCCTTTTTGACCTCCTGCAGAAACAACTTTCGGTAAAAAAAAATGACTACTTAAGTAGCATACACTTTTCCAATTGATTTTCGATGGTCTTATAAATTCAAATATATTTTATAGAGAACATGCACAAAATATGCGTTCTTTTGCTCATTTGATAGGAAATCATATTGTCTTTATATTTTATGCTCGAACAAAGTGTATATTTTGGTTTTAAAAAGGTTTCTAATTATGAGATTTTTAAGACAGGCGATGTCCATGCATGCAAGACCGCACATGTCCGCTTACTAATGCTCCTCGTGAAATGTACTACACAATCCGGACCCATTACAAAATTTCACAAATTCTATGGGGTATCTTCTCAAAGGCATAAAGGAATACATGATTTTCCTTACGCGAAAAGCATGCACGTTGTAGACTGAAATTGCTAAACGCTGATGCAATGGCGGATCAGTCTGAAAATTATTCGGGAATTCGGTAACTATTTTTAAAACCTAAATATGCGCATTCTTTGGGCATAAAATATGAAGACAATGTGATTTCCTACCAAATCAACAAAAGAACGCATATTTTGTACATGTTCTGTATAAAATATATTTGAATTTATAAGACCCTCTAAAATCGATAGGAAGATATATGCTACTTAAGTAGTCATTTTTTACCGAGTGTGGTTTCTGCAGGAGGACAAAGAGAAATGCATTAAAAAGCCGACATCCTGGCGAGTTCGAAATTTTATACGGTTATATTGCATGATAATCAGTAATAACAGCCCCACTTAAGTAATCCTTCCTAATCGGAAACGCATTGCAGAATTTTGGCCAACATTTCATGAGGTCGGTCATGCACTGTATGTGCTTCGTTGGTTTGGCATCACTGAGGTAACAAACCTGGCTGGGATTGTAAATAGCCAGTCAGTACAAGCCACTTGTCCGAGGTTCTCCAAGGCCCCTTGTGCACTTGGCTTGCTCCTCCTCGATCGTGTCTCTATTTTTATTCCCAAGCAGATGTCAAGCTTGGAGAAATTTTGCGTTAGACCCATGAATTGTCCAAGAAGGCCTCGAGATGTTACTGGGGGTAAGTACGATGCCACTAAAAACTGACGTATGGGTTCCATCCGCCAAATTGTACGCCGCACTTCCTTTGACAAATCCAAGGCAGACTAATGATTATCGACTCTTCTGATCTTCCTTTTTTGCGACCGCCACCGCTGCTGCCACAGTTAGTCTGGGCGGCGCACAAAAAGGTTTACGCGTACATATTTAACCATCATATATGCCCCACCCCTCTCCGCTCTGCCCGGCAGTCTACCTGAGCTCTCAAGAAACCGCCAAATCGGGTGCGGCGTCGGTATGTCAAGAGATGCGCCTTACTTTGTTGTGTGTGCGCGTGTTTGGTGGACGCTGTCGCGACTGACAAAAGCCTCCCGCGCACCAGTTCGCCGCCCAGTCAACCCAGTCCCTTTTTGCCCCAGCCCCATCCCCTCTCTGGGATGTTTTTATTGCCTGCTCCTCTCCTAGCCACAGTTGCGCCCGCCAACCTCGCTCTCTCTCTAAACCTTGACGAGAACGCCGTCAAAGCCCTAGGAATGGTAGGCAGAAGAGTGCGAACGTGAGCCATATCTGGTTTCCGCTTCAGCCTTTCCTGTGTTAGTATGAGTATTAATATTAGGATGAAGTGTTCCCCTGCTCGATACGGTGTTTGGGACCAAACCCCTGCCTAGTAGATTCCTTTCTAACGATACCCATAAGCCAATGTCAATAGAAACTATAATTTTTAAACTCTTTGACATTGTTCATGGCCGGCGGTCAGCGACCTTAGGAAGGTGAAGGAGATGATGTCGGTCTCCAACACAAACAGGATGTTTTGCGTTTTGTGGGGCGTGACTGCTACAAAGAAAGGCAGCTCCTCTGCAGGAGCATTAGTTGATCTTTGCATCCACCTGCACTTGGTTGGACAGTTCGCCTCCACCAGAAACCAACTCTGATCTATGGTTTTGTGGTAATCTAGCGTTTATGACGGTTGCATCCGAGAAACGGCGCCAGCTGGCGATTTAAAGCATATGATATTAACTGGCTCGTTCTGTCTTACGGCTGACCTTTTCTACACAGCGCCAGTGCATACATTCCAACATGTAGGCTTCGCCAGAGGAGATGAAAAATAAAGACACCCTGTAGTACACATAGATCCGAATGAGGCGCTGGGTATTCCCAGCCAGGCGCACAGTATCGGCTCTGTTCTTGTTACTTCAGACCCACCACGGAAAATCGATGAAAACCGGGCGGAGAGATGGCGGAGGGCGCTGCCCAACACTCCCTCACCATAGTTCAGTTCACGCGCGGAACCTCTTCACTATTGCAGAGAGTGGGCCGCATAGCGCGTTCTCGCAGAATGTGATCTAGCGTACTCTTCATATTGGCGAATCTTACCGGGGGTGATGGCCTGACGCAGAGAGTAAATGATGTTTAACATTGCATAACTGCGGTCCCCGTCATTTGAATTATAAGTTGAGGGCCTCCGCGTGTGACAACGAAGGCGTGAAGGCTCCACCGGAGTTCCGCTTTCCCAATAGCGTTGTCGTTACAGCTCTTCTCCAGAAGGAGATTATGGACATTGCAAATGAAGGTTTCTGTGACAGCCTCCATTCATCGCAGGTTGGAAAATTACTGTCAGCATGACATTTACTGATGATATCGGTGAGTTCTTCTCACTGTACTGCAACCAACGACGAAGCTGACATAGGCAATTCCGGAAATCGATGCGTTTCTGAAAGGCTGGAGTTCTCATTGTGTAATCTTTGTGAAATGTTCCTCCTTGCAAAGCTGAATATTTGCAAGACCGTTCCGTTACCTTAGATATTCTATAACCCTAGAACGCGGGACACCTAAATTCGAGCTGTAACAAGCAACCTTTATCAGCCGGGCTGACTTTGAGCAGTCCTAAATGCGGGATGAGAATCAATGATTTTGGGCACTTAGTTTTTAAGAAAAGTTGTTCGACTACAGCGTTTTAATAACGGTTAAACAGCTTAAGTTTCGTTATGGTTATGAGATCAGCGAGTTTCTTGGGACCTGCATGGGGAACAATCTGCAAAAAATGGTTGCTGGTGGATTTTAGAATTCATGAAGCAGAGGATTCGCCCGGTCAAATTAAAGTCCTTAGGCGGGCCTCTACTGCTAACCTTCAAGGGCTGGACTGGACTCATCGCCACGCCAAAAACAAAAAATCAGGTGATCATTTTAAATTCCACAATAAAGGATGGAAAAACTCTCTATCGACGATGACAGGCGAACTGAACTACTTTTTGCCAGGAATATTTTTTCCATCGAAAAGAAGTGGGCAGTCACTACCTTGGGAGATGGGCACACGCCGAACTGTACTGAGTCGGACTGATGTGGTGGAAAATGGGGTGGTATCGAACTCTTACTTCTCACATCCCTCATGTGTCCATGTCAGTACAGAGACGAGGCGATTTAGGATTACCGTAGGCACACTTCTTCACCTGCCGCGCCCCCGCGCGCATGCTGATCCTTCAATTCGGTTTATTCAGCTCCAGTCGGCTTCATTCTGGTCTTTAAGTGACACGTGGTGGGACAGGAAAGAGGCACTGTGGCCGACCCAACGCGAATTCGGTAATGGCGTTGTGGTAGCGTGCTGTAGTGTATGCCCAGGCTCTGCTGTTTAACTGTAGGAGTTTATGTACGCGGGCATTATTGAACCGACTCATGTGGTATGTAGATGTCCTCGGACAGTGTGTGTCTAGAATAAATGCGCATTGTGTCCGGAATGTAGACACTCGTACTTTGGCTACGACATTGTCTTGTTAGTGAATCAGTTTATATTGAGGCAGGATAGCACCGCACCTCCACCATTCCCTATTTCCGCACTCACTGCAGTCCAATAGCAAAGCAAAGTCAATACGACCGGGGGTGTGGTTGTGCACAACGACCGACAAGGCTGAACAATCCGACTACCAGTGCCACTCACGACCTGCTCCCTGACTCCACGTATGCCATACGTCATTTGGGGGTGGGGGTGGTGAGGGTTTCCCCATTTCACTTAACCAAGAGTGTCATAAGGGATTGGGGGTCCGACCCCAATGGCACCTTCTTAATCGGGCTTTGATGGCACTCAATGCTACTCGAGATCCGGAACTGTGCTTGTATATATGCCCTCAAACGCATGTCATAGGCTAATGTCGTCCCCATTGCGATCCACTTTACCTGCAGCGCAACCTGTTTTGGGACACAAGCGTTCTATTCTTCAATGATATCTTAATGCTTACGACACTACTCTTGGAGCCTAGTCTTTGGGGATTCAGTGGATGCAATTCTGAGTCACGAGAACGTGTAAATGAGCGATAACGACAGTGTCTCTTATTATGCAGACCAGAATCAAAATAACTAAACTATCTTATGTGCAGATCGAATCCCGCAAGGGGCACCTGCCGAGTCTAGACTTGGCATGTAACATCTCAATAGTCCAAGACGGAAATGTGCCGATGTTTGATTTTGACCGGGGAACATCTCTCCTAGTCCTTATGGTTGACACAGTTTTACCATGTGCAGACTGGTTTTGCATAAGACGGTGTCAGTGGACTACTGGAGGCAGAAATAATTTCCACAGCAGCGACTTTCAGTGCTTTATTCCGATTTTGCGGTGCAACTTCATCTTGCTTTTTAGCCCCTGGTTCGTATCTAGAACCCTCGGTAGGCTAGAAGTATGACTGACAAAGGCAGTGGACACTGGGATGGCGCGCTGGTCTGATGGGGGAGCGTTTGACTTGGGCTCAATGCTTCCGGCGCCCGAACTGTGGGTGGGATATTACTAGCTGTTAAGGCAACCCAGAACTCAACGCTTTCATCGACCAGCGTTCATAGACGGCGGAAAATCAGCTCTGCAGAGTAGTCTCAACCGTTACATGCGCGCGCGTCAGCCAATCAGCACGCTCTCGGCCATACGCGAACTTCCGGCGGCTATAGTCGCCTCCCCACGTCTTTGCTCAGGGGCCAACCAACCAAACGCTCTAACTAAGCAAGCGACGTTGGTCTTAGATACGGCACACTAGTCAGAAGGCCTTAGAACCTTACAGTGGACGAGGGCGGTAGGGCTGTTCTCTACCACTCCTGTCTGTCCCCTTTGCAATATAACAACCAGCGACACAAAACGGGGACATAAGATCAGGTAGTGGCAGCAGAAGGCATTATTCCAGTGCCTGTTGTATTTGTCGGCAAAATTTCTCGCACAGAGATAAATGTTATGGTACGCCGCGGGTCTTGATTGATGATGGTCAAATGAAACAATCAAATCACAGATGAGGCGAGTGAAGGCCTTCTGACACGGCAGTGAACTAGTCAACTACGCTAACCGTAAAAACGCCTTCTGTAGCTTCTCACGCTGCGCTGAGAAAAACACTTCTAGCACACCGCCATTTTTATCAGCATCTTGAACTAAGCTCACAGTTGATCCCCACCTAGTATGACATAGTCGCTAATTTCGTCGTTTCTAAAGACGAGAATCGGTAAGATGTGGTTATGCATCCGCACCTGACGGACACAATACTGTGATGGGTTAGAGCCTAGGAGCTAGGGCTAGGAGTTAGGGGTTAGGGTAACTATTTCTTAACCGCTCCAAGTACAACCGCGCATTCCCAATAGCTTTTCTTTTGTACGCAACTACTTGACATCGTCGCCTGTGCGTTCCCTGGCCCCACCTCTAAAGGCCCTCTTTTACCACCGGTCCCGTATTACAGGCGGCTGGGATTTGTTTACCTCTGGTGCGGATGCATAGCCACATCTGACCATAGAAATTTCTAGAAATGCGGTTGTTTCTCAAAAACGCTGCGACCTGGGAAATTAATAGCCACAAGTTTGGTCAAATGTTTCACCACAAGTTGCAATATTGACAACTGTCTTGTTAAATTCAAAAACTGTGCCGTCCGACTATTTTCTCTACCTAGAGGGACATCAACGTACTAGCCAGCAGTTCACTTGCGAAACGCATACTCAACCTGCCAAACCAAACTCTCTTCTACATACACGTCAAGACTTAGGCTGACAAAACACGTAACTTTTGATTTCGCCAAAACAACATAATTCTGGTTTTTAAAAGTCCTAATGTCAACGATATGTTAAAGGACCCTGTTTAACTAACAGTAAACTGTGGATCATGTCATACGGGAATGGCGGTAATGGGGGTTTTACGGATGGGACAACGCGCCAGATAGTAAGCCGATGAAGTGCAAGAAAACACATAAATTGTTTGGATTTCTGCCGAAAGTCTCATCGCACGCTTTCGTATGGCAACGGGAATGAGCACGTTGCTTTAAAACTCAACAAAAAGCAAATTTTCAAAAAATAACAGAGTTTGAGTAATGCTTTGAGGCCGTGGGAAGTAATCGTTGTTGGCATTGCAATGTCTGCAACGGCCTGCTAATGGATGCCAAGATAAAAACCCCATACGACACGACCCATACCGACAGTTAAACGGGGCCCTTCACTCCACCGTTGTCTCCATTTCCAAAAAAAGTTGTTTTCGAACGAACAAGCACGCATGTAACGAGCTTCGGCGTCAGTTTCGACCTCACAAGCCTAAAATAATGAGCTTGTTGCGGACAACCCTCATGGCCATGTCCAGAGTCATTGTTCAAGGCCTCACTGCCTCAAGGTCATTCACCCTTTTCAGTGAGCCGTTCTAGACCCGCTGGCCTGAGGCCACTCGACCGACTTCAGCTCGGATACACCTGCGTTCACGCAGTCGCAGCTGCCCACACGGCCACTTGAACGCACCTCCCCCCTGCAACCACAACAGATGCCCACTTAAACACCACCCCTCAACGAATATAACACACCAATCGAACACCCCTTCCGATTGCCCCACAGGCCTGCAAAAGAGGCTGCCACCACTCTCTCGAGGACTCTCAGGCATGACTGGACGCAGTCAACACCAGCCCTGGGTTAGCCAGCGGCCACTGCCACCTGCGAGGACAACTCCGGTTCTGTATATAATAAACCCATAAATTTGGTGAATGCTGCCTACTTACAATTAGGGATTTGGCCGGATAATTCTAGCGCTCCGAGTACACTCACACCGCCTAGTCGTTACAAGTGCACCAATATCTCTCACGTCGCAATGGAGTATCATGGGCGCCATTGCTACCTTTAGTAATCGTTTTTCGTCTCGTCAGATGCTCCACCAACATCGGAAACGTCATAGTGACCTGAATTTATCTTCATAAATGGGTTGCAGTGTTCTGCTCCTTAACGTCTAATTAGTTCTGCCATAAAAGAGGTCATCTTGGCAAGATCGAAGTAGAATCAAATTAATCTTGGAGTTTCGGCAACCGCATCCAAAAGCAAATAACAAGAAGGTGGCATCATTATCAGGTACCGATCTCTGTTGAAGGGGCTCCATCTTAGTCCATCAAGCAATTCCCAGATAACTTTTTTCCTTCACAGAGCATGTCTCTCTGCCAACGCAGTCTGAATGAGTTTCACCCTTTCATCGAACGTTTGGTAGTTCCACAGCATCAATAGTGAACGCATTTTCTATGCAGTGGCAGCCAGGGGAAACCAAAATACATTGTTAAAGCCTTTTATACAGCTTAGTAGGGGGGAGGGGGGAAAGAGTGACGAATTAGACATCGTGGCCCACTTCCCGTCCTAATAGCATTTTCCGTTATACATAAGGCCTGAAAGTAGACACAGGAGAGGTCCCGCAAGGCGGGCTTCTGAGCTGTGGTACGCGCGTTCAAACCTTTCGCGGCCTAGGTGACTTGGCGGCTTTTCGTGCCGCGAGGCCCAGCTGCATCCCCCTCTAGCTCACGGCCGAGAGATCAGCCTCCCAGGGGCTGACATCAACGTATCCCGCCCGGCGCCAGGACGTGAGAGAGACAGCAGGAGCAAGTGGGGGGAGGTTGATGTAAAAGACTACACCCTGGAGACTGGCCGCGGGGTCGTAGGCTGGCGGGGTGGAAAGACGGCTGTAGCGATCCTGATCCTGCCGCCTTTGACGGCTCTACGCTCTGTAGAGGGCGTCTTTTGATGTGTACCGCCAAAACTATGCCTTATTTAGATCTCATTAGGATGCCACTGGTTTGTGAATATGCAGGCGCACCCACTCGCATGCAAGAAGGCAGGCTAAGGCATTTTGGGCCGGTGGCAGTAACCTAGACAAACTGGGTAAATCTGTTCTCGCTACCGGTAGGGAAGAATCGAAGCTTACTTTAAATTCAGGTAGGATTTGAATATCTACACCCCCCTTCAGCAGTTCTGTGTAAAGCCAGCTCTATCACGGAGACGATAATAAAAGGGGTCTTAAGGGTGGAGTCTCGACTGCCTTACAGAAAGTGTATTAGCCATTCTGTTTTTGGAGTAGATACCTGACCCTTCCCCGAAAATGGGCGGGCAACATAGTTAATATTTCCAATCGAAACTGGCTGGAAAACGAGACCCGGGCTCAGTTGGTAGAGTGCTGGATTAAATAGCGTCAGATGACCAAAGGACGCGGGTTGGGGCTCAGGTGCAGCGGAAACATGGGTTTGAGTAAGGCTGGATTACATCAGTTAATAAGCCAAAAATGGCCATCTCTGTCTACTTTGTCCTGGACGGCGCTATGGTTCCACCCATACTCCTGGTCACTATGCAGTTGCCTGAGAGCGCTCTACGTCGAACCCCAAGGAAAAACGGGACGAGTGTGTCCCGCGACTCGATCGGAATACGCACTTCTAACAAGGTGTACAAGGGTGTACAAGCTGGCTATCTTGATAGAAAATAAGTCGTCTATAAGATCCCATGCGATGCCTGTGATGCCGTATATTGTGGCCAAATGGGAAAATTTGCCTCTACACGCATCCACGAACATCAACTTGCAGTAAAGAGGCGAGACCACTTGTCTCAAATGGCCATGCACACCCTTGATACTGGGCACACTTTCGCATGGGCCAAAACTCGCATCGTCGGAGTTTGCCCATCTAAAAAAGGCCGAGGGTTTCTTGAAGCCATGCACTTTGATGAGTCATTCATCAACAGGCATATCGAGTTAGATGCCACGTACAAAAATCTCTGAGAAAAGTGGAAGAGACGAAAGAAGATCAATACGGACTGACACATACGACGGCAGCTTACTGGCTGAGGCACCAAATGAGTATTGATTTTGTAGCACGTTTGAAATTTTAATTGTTTTCTGCACATTTCCTCTAGTCTGACGACAACACGGGGAACCGACGTCGAAAATTTACTCCATAAATTTTTCTCTCTTTCCCAAAGAACGTATTTGATATCAAACAAATATATGTATGTATTGGAATGTAGGCATCCCAATAAATATAAGTTGAAGGCAGAGGCGTTCTTTGGGAAAAGGTACTTTATTGCGTGAATTTTCGACGCCGGCCTGTCCTCTCATCGTTTCACTCAGCAACAACTAGCGGTTCTATCCTATGACGCGAAGTTCAGCACAAGAGATGCTCGGCCAGAAAACCTTATTGCATCCTTTGAATCGGCGCTCCAGAAGTGTGAGGCAGACGAGGAGTGAAAAAACGCCATGCGACAACAAGCGTCGACCTTACTCCTCCAACACAAACGCCAGATGACAATTTCTAAAGCAAAAAATCGAGAACTTCTGAAGATACGAAAAATAAAGGATACCATCACCCTGCCCGCCGACAAGGGGCGCTCGACTGTCGTCATGGATAAGGCTGAGTACTGCACAAAACTAGGCAACCTCTTGATGGACAAGGAAGCTTATGTGCCATCGACCGTCAGCGAGTTTAAAAAGCTCGTAAACAGCATAAACAATACGATCGGCAAGCTGAGGAAGGCGGGAGCTCTTACGAGAAGGGAAGCGTTGGTCGCAAAAGCCAGTGATATCGCGATGGCGCGCTTCTACGGCCTACCAAAGGTCCACAAGCAGGGAGTGCCGCTACGCCCATCGTCTCCTTACGTGGTACTCCAATCTTTGGGCTGTCAAAGTGGCTGTACCAGCGACTTTGTTTCCTTACCAAGGATTCGAATGGACAGTGAAGTCGGCTGAGGAGTTCTTGACGCGCATCAAACATCTCGAGGTGGAGGCAGATGAGATGATGGTGTCACTTGACGTGATCTTATTATTCACCTCCATCCCACCCGCACTGATTATCGACACTATTGATGGCTTTCTCCGGGAAAATTATGATGAAACCGGCCAACAGCTCAAACGAGCACACATCATCGAGCTCCCAGAACTGTGTCTTAAGACGTTCTTTCCATTCAACGGCCAAGTCTACGAGCAAAAGAAGGGGACACCGATGGGCTCGCCTCTGTCTGGACTAATTGCCGAAGCAGTTTTGCAGAGACTCGAGCAGCAGGTCTTCAGCTCGTACCCCCCGAAGTTCTGGGCAAGATACGTCGACGACACGTTCGTTGTAATCAAGAGGAGCGAGGTGAAGGCATCCAAGACATTGTTGAACTCCAACTTTCCCGATATTCAGTTTACTATGGAAGAGGAAGTCAACAATCAGTTGCCCTTCCTGGACGTATAAGTTACGAGATTGACAGACGGGAAGATAAGGACGACGGTTTACCGTAAGGCAACAAATACCAGGCGCATCCTCCACTTCCGAAGCAACCACCCTGTTGGTCATAAACGCAGTTGTGTCAGGACTCTCTTTCAACGTGTTCAAACACACTGTAACGACGACAGTGGGAGGAAGGCGGAGATGAATTACTTACAGGGCCTTTTTTTAAGCAAACGGCTACCCAGAGTCCTTCATACGCAATTGCCTCAAAAAGCCTCATTTTGAGCGGTCGAGTGGAGAAAAGCCCAAGTTCTGGCTCTCAATACCCTATGTGAAGAACGTATCAGAGGCAACGGCAAGAATCCTAAAACCTTTTGGGATTGGCGTGGCTCATAAACCAGAATGCACCATCAGACAGCAAATCATGAAGCCCAAGGACCCGCTATCAACAACAGAACAGTCGGCGGTGGTCTACAGCGTACCATGCCTAAATTGCAATGCAAGGTATGTTGGTGAAACGGGCAAACGCCTCGGCACAAGATTGCACGAACACCAACTTGCAATCAGCCGCAAGGGCAAGCTGTATTTGGTCTATGGCCACATACGAGAACTGAACCACGATTTTGCATTTGAGAAATCGAGGGTAATTCGTCGAGCCAATGAGAAGATGGCCAGACTGATGCACGAAAGTTGGTCCTCGACTGGTACACTCAACCGAGCTATAGATCCACATCCTGCCTACCAGGCGCTGCGTACAAGGCTCGGATCATTCCGGACAGGACCAGTAAGGCAAGCGAGCACGCGGGACCGAGAGTCAACGCTCACGGAAAAGAGCGGAATTGGGGGCCAGAGGTCATGTGACCAAAGCCGAACACTGTCTCACCGATGCGCCCGCGAAGCTGAATGCTGCTCACCTGAACAGCAACGACCGATCAGTCCACCAGCTGACGTGGGAGGGGCCAAGCGGTACGTTGATTTGATCACAATTAAGCCGACCCCAAAGGGAACAAAGGTCACGCAGGCCTGTAAGCGGTCAGCTCCGGGGAGGTCTAAGCCAGTCAGCGGCAGACAGGCAGGTCAAAGTTCGTACGTGGAGCACGGGTATAATAAGAGGCAAGGGGCAAGACTGAACAACTGAAGACCGGTAAGTGCAACAAGTACGCTATTCTGATGATGGAAACGAGGAGGTTCCCTAAACGCGCTAACGCGCTTGAATCTAGACGATGCGCTAAATGCCCTGGCTTTGAAAACTGCCAAATGATGGCAAAACCTAGACCTAGATGTCAGCCTTGTGTGTGTGTCTTGCCCCCTACAACGGGCCACGCGGTTGATGCGCTGAACCATCACGAGGACCAGATCAGGGTATGGCACGCGTCATTGGGCTGGTCGTCTGTAACGTATGCCACACACAGAGAGGTACAGTTTCAGGCCTGGGGGTCGGCCACCTGCGTCCGATCCCGCCTCCGGTCTTCTTGACTCTGTCGTGACACAGGACGCAAGTGGGAGAGAAGGACAGGATGCGATAGGTTCTGCGTAAGTCGCCGCAAGTCACCGTCCCTGAACCCAGCATGCTGCGGGGCATACGGTGAAAGTAATTGACAGACCCTATCGGCGTCGACCCGAGGCCCACTATCGATCAGGCGCTTCAAGAGATACTTTCCGTCTTGCATTTTACTCCCTAGGACGCCAGGAACCTTTTAATTCTTATACCAAAACATCAGATTGTCCAATCAGTATGCCCTGTTGCCCTGGATGCGGCTGCTCGACCATTGCAAACGGCGATGCCCACTGCATGCGCCATGCAATGGGCACAGTAATGATGACCTACGCATACTTCACGCTGTCTGCCCTCATTCTACTTGATCCAGAGACAAGAGCAAGCCAAGACAACCGACTCGGCGTCACACAAGACTAAACAGTCAATCTACTCGCGCCACACGCAGCATGGTCCCCACATCATGCAGCAGGCATTCACGAGGATGGCTCAGACCTCACACGAGTGAGGATATTACAAAGGTCACGTTGAGAAGGAGCCATTTCAGTCTGGCTGGCGGTCCTAAGAAGGTCCGAGTTATCCCGTCCGTTCCGAGGCCCAACTCTCATCCAGTCGGAATAGGCCCAAACATGTCAGTATTGCTACAAGGGAGAATGCGCCAATCTTTCATGGGCAAGAATTCACCAGTGTCGACCTTACTCTCCCTCTCCTTTCCCAGATACAGAATGACATGCTTTTGACGTACGTGAGATGTGCACGTCTTGATCTGTGATGCCTCACCAGCTACATCAGCGATTACAAACTGGTTCGCGTGCTTGCTACGGGAATGGTGCATGCCGTGTTACGTAGAAGTGGTGTATATATACGCTTCGTGGAGTAGATTAGTATGCAGCGCAGTGCACGTATGTGCAGGTAGGGCGAAGTATGGTGATCGCAACTGGACTCTGCTGTTTTACCGGAGATTTTCCTGAATGAACTTATGGCTGATTAGGTCCAAGTGATGGCTGAATGTCCTTGAGCAGCGTGGGCAGGCGATATACGAAGGACAGGTGAATAGCGGAGCCTTCGACACCGGTTCGTCGGTGCGATGGATTCGCAAGTGACCGATCAGGACCATGCGTGATCTAAAGTTGCGGCCTCAGTGAAGACAGACTGCTAGTTCTCATTGCTGTGGATGCTGTTGGTTATGAGGCGGGGAAGGTGGGTTTGCCTCCACAACGTTACAGGAGATGGCGATGGTCTGTAAAGACACTGCTGATCCAAAGACGTCCCACAAGACGGACGTGTGTCTTAGATGTCGCTGGCAGAGCATGCATGTGTGTTTACAGTTATGATCTGTTTTTTTTCGAGAATTGCAGACATTCCTTGTTGCTGTGGCGTCTTCTATGCGAAGTGCCTCAAAAATTGCGGTCCCAGGTGCCAAAGAAGGGCGCCATGCCTGTCTCTTTTGGGCGAGATCCTCTCAGGTCTCCAGATTGAGTCGCAGTTGCTTGAGGGAGGTCCTCAGAGTGCCCTTGTAAAGGCGCTTTTGTCCGCCTTGTCGTCCAGCCCTCGTAACGACATCGTCATAGAATAGACGCTTTGACAGGCACTCGTCAGCCATCCTTACGACAAAACCGCTCCAACGCACTTGCACCTACCTCAGCAGGGCGTGAATACTGGGAACGTCAGTTTTTTTCAAGACTCCCATGTCCGGAATCCTGTTGTACTAACTGGGTTTTAATTGTCTTTGGAGACAATACAGGTGGAATTGGTTGAGTTTCCTCGCGCGGCGGTCGCGTCTCCTTCCTGTCAGCTGGAACTCGCACTTTCACGTGCAATGACAGTTTCCTAGATCACCTATGTCACGGACCGGTCCTGGAGCATCGTTAGTGTGGCTGTCTGCTACATACTTATTTTTGTGTTCATATAATGGCCGCGACGATTCCAAAATGAGTGTTGCAGCTGACCGAAGGTCTGACCGGTTTTTGGGATCCGATGGGCGATTTTGTCACCGATCTCGATGTTTATTGAGATTGCATTTCACAGGTGGTCGAACTTGTCCACAGATGCGAAGGGCGTCCCATTCACGCTGATTATGAGTCTCTTATACTGATCGGATGGTGCTGGTTGACACATGACCACCGCCTTCTCCGTATTTATGGTCACTCCGACGTTTGTGAAGCCGGGGTCACAGAGGTTCATGAGCCGCTGTTTTTCCGCCTTCTCGTGGTATTGAGCGCGCAATCCTCCAAGAACCAGAGATAAGGAACGCTGGTTGTGGAAACTAACGTGGATGCGTGCATGCGTCGGAGGTTGAGTGGTCGTCCGTCTGTTCGGTAGGCGACACTGATACCCTACCTCGCCTCGTACGAGACGTCCATCAGCATGGCGATTGACGTGGGAATGAGGAGGGTGGTAACAAGCAGGCAACCACGCTTCACGCCACCTGTCACCGTGAAGGCCTCTGAGACAGCCCCGCCGTTCTTTACTCGCGACATCATCCCGTCGTGTGGTTGTCTTACCATTTGCTTGAATAGCTCCAGACATTTGAATTCAACAGGACAAATTGTCATCCCAAACACAAATGTCCAGATACGTCCGGCCACCAGCATGTAACATCTGTAGAATACTGGTAATAGATTCCGTTGTGCTTGGATCCTCACTGGGTGCTCTTGACGCCCAGATTCTGGACGTGCTTCACACTCCATTTCCATCGAATTGGGATGAGTGGCGCAGATGAATGAGTGTTTGACGCAGACTCTAGTATGTCTTAGCGCATTCATAGTGTCATCTTCTTTCACTGTTCCCGCCATATTAGAAGTTGGTCTGAATAGGTGTTGGAAACTGAATTTTTTTCTGTAGCATACAACTTTAAGAAACAAGTCAGTCGACCGGTTTTCTTAAAATGGCTTTTTTCTGACTAGATTACTTGAAGGCTAACAATAAGACTTCTTTTAATGTTCTTGATCTTACACTATTCAAGCCTCTCGTTTAGACAAGTAATTCACTCATATCAATGTGAACCCTCTCATAGCATGAAAGATGATCTACTGGCAAAAATGTACAAAGGCAGTACAAAAGGCGACTAAAGTTTCACATATCAGGAACCAACAAGGAATAGGCAAACGGGCTTATAGGGAAACGAAATGAACGAGCATACCGACAGTTAAGTTTGTTATTTTTTCGGAATTAACGGGTTAAGGTTTAAAAATTTTATGCAGAGGAAAAGACGTTACGTGTACTGGGCTTCAGATTAAGCTGTAAACTAGTCAAACTGCCACCGTTATCGGACTATAGGTTCGGTTTAAGCAACTGACGAATTGCCAAAGCGGAAAATGCTACTCTTCTGACGGATAGGTCAGCGGTGAACAGCCAAATGACGAGCCATTCCTGGTTCTTTCTACGTGCCTGCAGACGCATCTACTAACACCATTCTCCGGCCTGAAACTAAGGCTTGTTCACGTGAGATCTTCCCTGTTTTAATTTGCATACTGTTATATCGTGCCGTAAACCAGCTAGCCAATTGCAAGTTACTCAAAGGAGTCGC